TGATATTGTATGGTATGATATTGTATGGTATGGTATGGTATGGTATGGTATGGTATGGTATGGTGTCGTATGGTATGGTATGGTATGGTATGGTATGGTATGATGTCGTATGGTATGGTATGGTATGGTATGGTATGGTATGGTATGGTATGATATTGTATGGTATGATATTGTATGGTATGGTATGGTATGGTATGGTATGATATTGTATGGTATGGTATGGTATGATGTTGTATGGTATGGTATGGTATGGTATGGTATGGTATGGTATGATGTCGTTTGGTATGGTATTTAGAAGATGACATTTGTTAAATTTATATTCCATGGGATGCAAACAAACAAAAAGAAATTAAGATATTTGTAACATTTTAACAAGTCAGAACTTCACCACGTTTTACAGACCTCGGTGAAAAATCAGAAACACAAATTGGGAAGCAGCATAAACCAGGGTTTTATTCCAACTTTTTCACTTGTTGATGGAGTCTTAGGGTGCTGGAACTGGAATCTCTTGATGCAACACCTCCTGATGAACATCTCAACTCAGCCATTTTAACAGTAAATGCGGCTGTAACTCAAAAGTGTTTATGTGTAGCAATTTAAGCAAGACAATCTTAAAACCAGTTACATAAAGCATTGAAAACACAAAACAATAAAAAAAAAAAGATTTTTTTTAAATAGCATGAAAAATAAAATAAAAGCATCTCCCATCTCTATCTTTTACCACTTACCTGTAATCAGGTCATGGAGGTACAGGAGTAGACCTCCCTCTCTCCAGTGACATCCTCGAGCTCCACCTGGGGGACCCCAACCTGTTTCCCATCCAGAGAGAATGCACAATCACTCCAGTGAGTTCTTGGTCTGCCCTGGAGTGGAACGTGTCCAGAAAATCTCCAAAGGGAGGCGTCCTATTCAGATGTCTGAAACACCGACTCCTTTCGATGCGAAGGAGCAGACCCTCTGAGCTCCCCCCGGATCAAGGAGCTCTTCATTCTGTCTCTAAGGTTGAGCTCAACCACCCTACGAAGGAGGCTCACTTCAGCCACTTGTATCCAGGATCTCATTCTTTCAGTTATAATTCAAACCTCATGACCTCAAACATGGCAGTGGTTCAATTAAAAAGGTTCCCCCGTCCAGAGGACAACCTCAGTCAAGACTCTATGGCCTGCCAACCAGATCTGTCCCATAGGTAGCCTTCACTGCTGTGTTTCAAGCCAACCGCCTGTTGGAATCTAAAAAGTAGGCTTTTACCACGTGCAAAACATACACCCATCCAAAACAATCAATCATCATGTACAACAATCAAATGTTTTAGGCCAGATGTCTAACTTGCTACTACAACTTGCTGGTTCCCACCCCTGGTCCCTGAGGAACACCATCCTGCATATTTCAGTTGTTTCTGCTCCAACACACCTGATTCAGTTATATAATTACTTCCTCAAGTTCTGCAGAAGCCAGTTAATCGCCCATTCAAATCAGGCGAGTCAAATCAAGGAAACAAGTAAAACATGCAGGACGGTGTTCCTCAAGGACCAGGGTTGGGAACCATTGGGTTAGAGTACCTCAGTGATCCTGAGGGCTACATTTCCTGGGGCATCGGTCCCTGGTTGAGTCTCCCATGGCAAACAGGCCTCAGGGAAGGAATCAGGCTGATTTGTGAACCTTGATGGATAAACGAATGCATCATGAAACCTCATCCAGATAAAGGGGAACCAGGGCACCACCCTGGAGCCTGACCTGGGGGGACGAGCCTTGGCTCTCAGGGCTCAGTCAAGCCAAGCCGGAAAGAGAGACAGGATGACACCTCAACGAGGGCCCACCACCTGTGAGGAGGAGGACGGTGAGCTGGGTGACATGTGAGGGCGGGCGTCTATTCCTGGAGTCATACGTATAAAATCAAAGCAAATATAAAAATCAGTCTGTCGAAGGACTCCTGTGAACATTCTGGGGGCTTCTATCCTCTTTCAACAATTTAGTTGCGTGTTTTACGAAATACTTTCTTGTTTTGAACAATTTATTATGAATGAAACAGATCGTTTGTCCCCGCGTCTGATGGTCGTGATATAAAGACATCGTGTTTTTGTTGTTGTGTCGCTTCGAGCTCGTGTTTGAAGCGCAGACTCCGTGTTTGGTGCTATTTTTGGCAGAGCTTGATACTTATAGGACACTGGAGCGGGGAGGAGTGTGAGCAAAGTTAATAACTGCGCACACACACACGTCTATCTTTCTATCTTTGTGGGGACTTTGCATTGACTTCCATTCATTTCTATAGCCTAACCCTGACCCTTATACTAAACCTAACCATTACCAGTACATACCTAACCCTAAACATAACCAATGAGACTTATACTTATGGGAACCGGGCTTGGGTCCCCACAAGGAGCAGTTGGTCCTCACAGTGTTGGATGTTTTGGTCAATTGGTCCCCACAATGTAACATTATACCAAACCACACAAACACACGAGTGAAAAAGAAAAGAAATTACTTGTCAAAAGAAAAACACGTCACACAAATAGAGCTCGATGGGATGTTAACAGGTAAATGACTTAATTGAAATCCTTTTATTTTTTTATCAGATGTTTTTTGGCACGTGACTTCATTTTTTCTATTTCAACAATTCAATTCACTTTATTTATATAGCGCCAAGTCATACATAAGTCATCTCAGGGCACTGAAGAGAACTGAATTCAAAATCTTACTTCTAACCTACAAAGCTCAAAAGCTGAAGCTTGAAGCTTCTGCCTCAAGTGGAGGAGTTTAAGTATTTTCGGTAGCAGGAGATCTAGAGATTGATCACTGCAGCTTCTGCGGTATTGTGTAATTTGTACTGGTCCGATGTGGTGAAGAGTGTGCTGAGCTATAAAGCGCAGTCGATATTACTCTCACTTATTGTCACAAACTCTGAGTAGTGATCAAAAGAACAAGACTGCAGATACAGGGGGTCAAAATGAGTTTTCTCCGCAGGGCAGCTGGACTCTCCCTCTGAAGAGAGGGTGAGAAGTTCAGTTG